GGGAAAAATACATTTTTGAAAAAGACCCTGCACCCAAACAGGACTCATGAAGCTTTTGAAGAAATAATATCTTGTTATTTCAGAGATGGCTTGTATTTATTCAACTAGACCCCTACAGCCGGTTTGCAAGTTCACTCTGAATGTACCAGGTGCTGCAGTGCACTGTTCACACTACTTCCTGATGATGTCAGTGGGAGACAATTGCAGGAAGAGGACAGGAAGGATGTTATATCTGCTCGAGCCTCACTTCCTGTCTCTCCCTCTCTCTCATGTCTCTTTAGGATCAGAGTTCCTTCGTCCGTAAACAGATTTGAAACAACTGTTTCCCAATTTCACTGTGTTTGACCTATTTTCTAACCCAACACCAAGGATCTCCCTGGTTTATCCTTCCTGATTTTGTACATAGAAAAACAAAAATATTCTGTGTGTGTGTGTGTGTGTGTTTGCTTTTGTAGCCATGTGGGGACCTGAGTTCCAGACCCTGAAAGTGGGGACTCTTAGAAACCATTTGAAGAACCCTTATTTAAATATTTATGGTTTAAAAAGATGCTAGACTACGTAAAACACTATTCACACAAAACCCATCAACAACCACTAAACTTTGTAACAGACATACAGTTATCATTTACTACAGAGAAGTTGCATCACAGTCATTTACATTTCTCTTAAACTGTAACTATGTTGGTTTCTCTATGTTAAAGATGTAGAATAACGGAGGAAAAAAATCGTCTCCCTGCCAGTTGCTACAAAGTATCAATGAATGAGTCAGAATAGTATTACTCATACAGTGTTCCTCTCTTTTCCTAAAAATGGTAACATAAATTAAGCTAGAAGAGCAATGCAGTATATGATGTGTGTTACAAATATACTGAAATGAATCCTTCACCTCCTAATCTTACAACACGTGAGAGGAAGGTGTTATGCCTCTCCCCACAGATCAACAGTGTGCTGCATCTGCGAAACTGTGCCTAAATACCCTTTAACAACCACCTATCTAAATGTTTGTTTTCACTGTGAAATATGCCAACGAGACCAGAAAGATGCTTTGCTGTGATTTTAAAGAGCATGTAAAGTGTAAATGATGTTGAACTGTCCCAATATATCTGTGGTAACACTGAGAAATTACCCGCAGACACTAATCTAACATTAAATCTCACTATAACCACCGATTTAACCTGCAATAACATGTCTTGTGCTATAATTACTGAGAGTGTACACACAAGAAGCTTATTTCAATGAAGCAACCACAATAAAAAAGAGTCGGTTGCAACAAAAACATCTCAAAAACTGCTGGTGAAGGTTCACGTACTGAGTGAGTCAGTAGTGTCTCGTCCTGACCCGTGTGCAGTGGCCTGACTGTCTGCTGTTGGCCCGCTGTCTGAGTCTGAAGCCTGTCTCTCAGACTGTAGCACCTGGCAAAAAAAGGAACAAAACACTTTTACTTCTCTCTTTTATAACATTTGAAGAGAGGAGACAAGGAATAGCAAAAATTGGCACATTTGTCTTTCCGTTTTATAACAAAACATTTAAATTGTGCAAAATCATGTTAAAAATAAAAATAAATAAAAATTAATGTATCCTCTGGGAGTATGACTATTTCTTTCTGCCAACGTGGGGTGTAACTGCCATGTCAGCATGCATTCAGTTTGTTCAGGACTTGAAGCTCTTTGAAACCAAGGCAACTCAGCAACCGCAATAATCACCTCACTCACTGCTTGTAAACTAGAAGCCAAAGGAATAGTTGTGTCATGCGTGGGCTGAAAGAGGGTGATGTCAGCGACACTGAAACGTTAAAACTGGGGTAAATATTCAGTATGCCACAAATTACATTTGTCATAGTAAGACACAGTAAGAGCACATCGTTAGACCGGCATTGGGGCTCCTCATTAAGTCTGTTTTATGGGAAATGTTGGTCTTTGTGGCAAGACCACAAAGAGAACACTGCGGACAAACAGTCTGACATTCAAGGACATACGCAGATAAGCACACTCACCTTGTCGAGCTCCAGCTTCCTCTGTATAATTGGAGAAGTTGATCCATCCAGCCCCTCAGTGTTGCTACACTGGCTGCCAACATCGTGGACCACCTGAACAGAGAAAAAGAAAACATTCATTTACAGGCACAGCCTTGTGTCTGCTCGTCTGTCTCAGCACCATACCTCTAATGAGGTGAAAAAAGGTACCTTGAGCCATCGCTGGGCCTGTTCTTTACTCTGGACTGCCAAGACTAGCGCTTCGCCTCCAGGTAATGAGAAGCGCAACTCGTGACGCTTTTTCCGGCCTTCCTTAGGGACATAGATGACGTTGCAAAGATTCAGTGGGAGCTCTGTGTTGGGAGAGCTCTCTTTGATGCTTTTAAAACACTGTGAAGGAAGAAGTCAAGAACATGCATTATTTGAGTAAAAGACAATCGATGTAAGCTTAGCCTCTTACTGTTATAAGCTGGAAAATAACTGTGTAAACTGTGGCTTACAAATAAGTGTGTTCAACTGTCTGATTCACCATAAATAAATAAGGATTTACCTTGAATAACACCAGAAAAAGACAATTCTTTGGTTTGAATGATAAAATAAACATTAATAAAGAGCAGCATCTATTTACCTGCAGTTTATTGTCTCGGACAACAACAAGCTGCTTAGCCCACTGGCCAAAGCGTTTCTTTCGCAGTAGGAAGGCACAGATGCGGCAGTCTCGAACCGGTCCATCTGTTCTTTCCTCGGCTGTCCATCTCTGAGGCTGGTCTCGGCCCTTTGCTTCCTCTTCCTCTTCTTCGTAAGACTCGTAGGAACTACTCAGAGCATCTGAGTCATTGTCTGAGTACCAAAGCAATTATTGTTTTACAGAAGATCCACAAAACAAATTGTGATTCACAAAATCCTAGCTCTACTACTAGACATAAACTAGCATGAATAAGGGTCAGATTAAGACTCACAGGAGCTTTTGGGAGGCCCATTCATTCTGGTGGTGGGGTAGTTATTGTCAGCATCTTCATAATAGGCGTCCTCCACAGAGTTCCTGGATGCTACAGGTGAATAGATAGAGTATGTGAGAAAGCAGAACCAAAGGTACTGATCTGATTACCATTATACATGACTGCGCACACACATGTGCGTTTGTATATGCATGTGTTCATACTGGTGGTAAAGTACTGAGGAGTAGATCCGGGATCTAGAGGAACAGCTTCTTCATAGTAGTCATCAGGAAGGGGTGTAGTTGGCAGAGGAGGAGGAGGTGTGTCAGTTGGGGTCTGAAAACCAAAGGTAGCTGTTGAACCAGAACTGGGGGTAAAAGGAAGGCTGATGTAGGTAAGTAGTTTCTGTGAATGGCTTACAGATTTATTGGGATGAGTCTTCTCCTCTTCATCCTTGTGCTCTTTCTGCTCCACTGGAGATGCACTGAGCATGTGCAAATCACAGCCTGATAGGATTAATCATGATTAACTTTATAATTTTATATAAACACAGGTATAATGATTGTAAATACATACACAAAGGATTTTTTTTTAAACTGAACTGAACCGAAGGTATTTTGAAGGTCTACTAACCAAAATCCTCAAACAGAGACTCTACAAAGCTCGTGCCATTGCCATAGAGACAGCTGTTCATGTAGACATCAGAGCCGTTCACTGTGGAAAAGACAAATTATGGATTAAAAACAGGATCAGAGTTAGGGTTAACATAGCCTATAGCTTTTAGGTCAGGATTAAGAAGGGCTATAGAGACTGAATAAAAAGACAGTGTCACGAAGTATAAATAGTATTTCATCTGCAATAAAAATTAGATCTATGGTGACCTATGTACAGGGAGTACAGAACTGAGATTGAAAATCTTTGTACAGCAAGAACAAAGAAAATGTGTGTGGGTCACAGAAAGGTTTGACAGAAAAAAACCCAGATACAATGATGTGAAATACACAGCAACTATTAAAAAAAGATGAGTATGGACACGACAGACTGGGCCCAGTCTAATATTTGTGTTCTGAAACCATCAGGATGTTTTGCTGTTCTCATTATCCTCTTTGCATTTCATTATCCTCTTACACGGATCCTTTTATCCTCCCCGACATCCTGTATTCTTCCAGATAAAAAGGGATTTGTCTGTAAATACCTCAGCAAGATTTCATGTCACAGAGGCTGCATTTTGTAGCACAACAACTGCTGCACTCTCTCAAGTTGAGCAGTTTCAGTGTGGTTGGCTAAACACAGTAGGGTCACACCGTTGCAAACAGACAAAAAAGAAAGACATGCTGTAGTACTGTTGATGTGACACTTCTGACTTTTTGTTTTTGGGCTAAACTGCTGCCATCACACTCAGATGAATTCATCCTGAATAAATAAAAAAACACTTCTACATTGAATATTCTTATTTCTACATTGTATTCAAATAAAGTGCTGCTTTTACTATTTTTGTAATGCCGGGGCATCAAATGCTGCTGTTCTATCTGACCTGCTGGTGTGCAGAAGGTGTTTCTTGGCACTAGTGAGACAAGTCTGGCAATCAAACTGTTTATAATGCATGACTTTTTTTCTAATGAAGCACCATTTAAAAATACTGCACTGATGTTTCTGCAAGTCATATTTCATCCTAAAATCTTTTTACCAAAACCTAACCAAAATGCAGATGTCCAAAGGACAGAAACTTCAGTCTCTTGGTGTCCAATCTTACAGTAGAACTATGCATGCTATGAGAAGCCAGTAGCACCTGACAGAGAAGCAGGAAATAAAATAAATAATAAAAGTAACACAAAAGGGCAATTTTATTATTACTGGGCTCCATCTGAAAGATCAGATCTTTATTATCTTTATGGGAGAATATATTACACAGTCAGTGGAAATCACAAAACCATCAATCAAACAGCAACATCAAAATCATAGTGAGTGACTTAAAAACAATTGGAAGTTTGGACAAATGAGTTTTTCACTTTATTGATGTAGTCTATCTGCAGCCAGACCTTAAACTGCTTAGACTACAGCTGGCTGGACCAGCCAGGACTGAGTGGACCTTCTTCGAAGTCATAAATTTATACAATTGGGAAAGGTCATTCAGTGCAGTTGACTAAGTAAAGAACTGTAAATTATTTCTGTGCTGTGTGAAATGTATTAACCTGTGCTGTACATGTTAAGAAATATTGACCTGGGTTATTTACATTGCCATCCTAACATTGGAGATTCTGTACCTGACAGCTGCAGTGAGTCCAGGATGTTGCGTATGGATGCCATTTTTTCAGCGGTAGCAGGACTGACCGTCTCATGGTCCAGCATCTTCAGCAGAGAGCCTAACTCATTTACAAGTCGTTCCATCACAACTAGAAACCACAAAAAACAGACATCATGTAATACTCTTCTGATTTCAAGAACCACCAGGTTATTCACTTCAACTAAATTTTATTTATATCAATTCATCAAAATATTGTAATGTAAAGATCCCACAATATTAGAGAGAAAACCCCAACAATATGATGATCCGCTATGAGCAAGCACTTGGTGACAGTGGGAAGGAAAAACTTTCTTTTGACAGGAAGAAACCTGCAGCAGAACCAGGCTCAGGGATAGGCAGCCACAAATGGGGTGAGGGGAAAAAGAAAAAAGGAGGGCACAGAGAAACAAGGACAAAACACACACCATGGGAGGGATAACACAAAGTGTAATGACTTACACAGCCATATAATGAATGGGGAGTGAGAAGAGATAAGTGGAGAAGAACTGCTCAGTGCATCATGGGAAGTCAGGGAGGGATGGATCTAACTGTATGCTTTATCAAAACAGAAAGTTTTAAGTCTAATCCTAAAAGTAGAGAGGGTGTCTGTCTACTGAATACAAACTGGGAGTTGGGTCCACAGAAGAGCAGCCTAACAGCTGAAAGCTCTGCCTCCCATTCTACTTTTAGAAACTTTAATAACCACAAATAAGCCTGCAGTCTCAGAGCGAAGTGTTCTGTTTATAATCATATGGTACTGTGAGGTCTTTAAGATACGACGGCCCTGATTATTCAAGACCTTGTGTGTGAGGCGAAGTTTAAATTCAACAAGGAGCCAATGAAGAGAAGCTAATCTGGGAGAAATATGATCTCACTGTTAGTACTCTCACTGCAGTGTTTTGAAACACTGAAAGCTTTTTAGGGATTTTTTAAAACAGCCTGATAATAATGAATTACAAAAGTCCAGCCACAAAGTAATAAAGTATGAACTGTTTTTTTAGCATCACTCTAAGAAAGGGTGTTTCCCATTGAATTTAGCACATGAAAGAAAGCATTCTTACATATTTGTCTAATGTGTGCGCTAAAGGATATGTCCTGGACAAAAATGACTCAGGGATGCCTCACAGTGTTACTGTAGGCCACAGTAATGCAATACATAGAAAGTATCTGGTTAGACAGCATGTTTCTAAGATTTTAAGGATAGCAGTACAATAACCAGATTTGTCTGAATTCAGAAGCAGAAAACTGGAGGTCATTTAGGCCTTTATGTCTTTAGCTGCTGTAGTCAGATTTTATAGATAAATATAACTGCGTACAATCTGCATGGTAATAATGCTTTATGCAGTTTTTAAGGCTATAATATTGTCTAAGGGAAGAATGTTTAAGGTAAAAGCAATAAAGTAAAATCCTGAGTGCTCAGCATGGCCATCAGATCGTCACAAGGCCAAACAGCCAAATATGACTAAAACTGTCAGTTCACAAGTGGCATGAAGTCAGTTTGGAACTCAGCTGTCAGCTGCTGCAACAGCTGACAGGGAAAAGATTTTTAACATCCTTTAATGTCACCCTGGTGATTCTGTCCCGCTCGGAGCAAGCCTTTTTGGGAACACAGCAAGTTTTCTGTGTGTCACTACTAAGCGTTAAATCCGACTTTCCACGTTGATATTTTGTGCTTTCTTTGAAAAACTTACTCTTTTCACTCCTACATCCTGTGTGGGTCAAGCGTGTGTGTCTGTGTGTGTGTTTTGTTGACCTTGACATTGTTCCAAATGCCCTGACACACTCTCACGCATCCTGCCTGCTCACAGCCAACAAAGAGGAGGAGGAGGAGCAGGAGGGGGAGCCGGAGAAAAAAAGAAGGTGAGGAGGAGGAAGCTTCCTTCCCTAAAGGAAATGGAGCCTAAATGAAGAGGAAAATGTATAGCTTCACCACAGAGGACAGGAGGTGGTTACCAAACTGCTTGAAGAGCCAAGTTAGTTCATTTACTTGTTTACTTCTAAATATAAGAAGATTGAAAGGCGTATCTTAGGATTAGTCTGAACCCAAAGCAAGCAGCTTTTCTTCTGATATTGACTTTTAATTAAACACTGAAGACATTAGAACTGCTTCTCTGATATTATCCACTGTTATTTGATGAAGTATTATTCGTACACTTGAACAGGTCAAGTGCAACCAAGTTTAAAATAGTTTCCTGTCACTTTGGTTTCCAGTGGGAGGTTTTAATAGCCTGTGCTCTTTATGTGGCTTTATCCACACTGGAAAGATTATAGTTTGTGGAAACATTTAAATTTTGTATTTTTTGGCATTAAAATTGTCAAATTTACAGTTCAGTTTCATTCATAATACAAAGCAGAAAGTTCATAGCTGGAAAGCTGGAAAAGCAACAGGATTTTTCAGGAATGATTTGAAAAAGCAGACTCTTTCACCTCGTGTCCCTTTTTACAAACTGATCCACTTAATTTTATGGCTTTGTTAAGAAGAACATGCTTCACAATGATTAGTCAAATCAATAAGCTTTAGTATGTTTACAATTTATTATGACATAAGTACACCTAAAAAAAATAAAATAAATGAATTGTCCCTTCCCAGAAAAGAAATGGAACAAGGGTTAAATAAAAATAAGATCAAAACAGTCTGTTTTCCTCTCACACAACGTGAAGACAGAGAGAGTGAGCGAAAAAGCCCTGACTCTCCCACAAGCCTCTTCGGCCTCCCCCTCTCACTCGGACAATACTCCATTGTCTCCGCAAGGGCCAAAATTAGATGGCCACAATGCTCGGCAAGACCAGAGCAAACAATCGTATTGTCGGAGTCAGAGACTCCCGGAGAAAACAAAACAGGAACTAACACACAGTGTAAGAGGGGCGTGGTGCAACGCAGCTGCACGGTCTCAATCCACGGGCATGCAGGGTTGTATCTCCAGCAGCTGTGTGTGTGCGTGTGTGTGTGTATGAGTGAGTGTACGTGCGAGTGCAGCTGTGGTTTCCTGTCTTTGCTGTCGACAGGAGCTTCTCTCCCCTCCTTCCTGATCTTGACTCTCCATTGCATTATGAACCTCACCTCCTCCTCCTTCACTTCTTTCCACTTTCCCATTTTGTGTCCTGCTGTTTCTGTTTCTGCCCCAACATCTTCTCTCGCTGCATGCTCTCCTTCTATCTCTTGCCCATACTCTACATTTTTCCCAAACCAACTAAATAGAAAGATTCCTATCTGATGGGTGCTCAATTTGCAGATGCATTTTGCTTTACTTGAGGAAACGTCAATTAAAAAACAATCAACAAAGATCTCGAGTAATCAGACCAGTGGTCTGATCTATTTTCTGCCGGTCTCAAAGACACGCACAGTCAAGGACATCAGTCTGCTCTCTCTCTCCCCCTCATCTCTGAGTCTATATCTTTATTTCTCTCTCCTTCTATTTCTCTCTCTCTCTCTCAAGGGACCTGAGGGTTCAGAAGCTGAGAATCAGCTGTTCTGCAGGATTGTGGCCTGTCTCACCCACAGAGGGATCTTTGTAATCCCCCACTGCCCCACACACCCCCACTCCACCCAGAACCACACACATGCAAGCACACACACACACACACACACACACGGCACAAATTTCCTCTTCAAATCCTTTTTTCCCCACTGATAGACACAATCATTCACTTAACTAAGAGGAAGCACAAATGCTCACTGTTAATTCGTCTCTCGCTTCCTCGTCTGAGTAAACATACAGTCACAAGAGTACAAAGAGGAATGTGTTTGTTTGTGCGTCTTCACGTTCATTTTTCTGTGTGTTTCCACAGACAGACTTCCTGATGAAGATCAGTCATGAGACTCGGGCCATGCGACTCTCATTTGGACTGATTTAGTGTGTTTGGTTGCAGCTCAGAACAAAACAACTGCTACTTACTGCTGCTGCTGCCGCCGCTTTTCTCGCCGCATAATACCTATGGGCAGCAGGTCAAAACAGGAAAGACACTTTGGCTCTCCTAAACTGAGGCTTTCGTTCCCATCCATTACAATTCGAACACACCAATTAACATAAATCCAAGGCTACCCATCTTCACTTGCCTCTCCCATTCAAAATATCCCTCCATGTTATAATTTTACCAACACTTCATGACTCAGAAGTACTCTATATGAATGCACTGAACTGTACTGCTTCTTGCTTCCATAGATTCTGTTACCTGATTGACATTAATATGTGTAACAAGGGTAATTTAAGACATATACTCTATGCAAAAACCGTATGAAACTGTCCTCTTCCTGCCTCCCCCACACTCCTCAGCACTGAGGTCCCTCCAGATTGCATATTCTCTCTGCCGCTCCTTTCTTTCCCTTCCTCTGAGATCCTTTTCCTTCAACTCCTCTCCCTCGCCTGTCTCCCTCTGTCCCTTCCCCAGACACCCATCCTCTTCAGACAGAGGCCAAAGTTCAAGGCTTGGCAGGCCCAGCATCTCCCACTAAGACAAAAGTCTACTTCAGAGACACAGCATCCAGTAATTCATATTTTCGTGACAACAAAAGATGGTGTCAGTGCTTGCCTGGGGTTAGCGTTCAGTCAGACACTTTAAAAAGTCCACAACAAAGATAGCAAGATACTTAAAAAGAAACAGCTGGGGG